AACAGACTTCAAATTCTTGCCGCTACCCTTCTTAAATTATAATTTCGACAAGAAGAACAACGGTAAGAATGTGAAATCATGGTTAGCATCATGTCCATCAGTGGATTTCACAATCGCGAATCGAATATCAATCGGATTCAAGACGTAGAATACGTGGATGAGCATCAACTTCCCTTCTAACGAAAAAATTTCGGGTATATGAAAACTAAAATTCATGGCAAACCATCACTCTGCTCATAAAATCTGAAATGATGAGCTGCGATTCAATGATAGTATTCATCGAAATTTTTATCACTGTCCAATTCCAAAATAGAACCTAGTAATAAACATTCCAATAATCCTAGTAACAATAATAACAATCCTGGTAATAAATAGTCCTACAAATGTTTCATCGGCGCTGTTTCTTTATATCTCAACGCTCTCAGTTCGCTGATTCTAATCAAAAATTAGACACCTTAATGAATAAATGTTTTCCAGTGAAAGTTTGATCGGTTTTCTACAGGTGGGTGGGCTTTATAAAGAAACGTGTGGCAAATCAGCGTCGGGTGAGTCTTGTCGTTGGTGAATTTTACAGATTGTCGGATGAATTGCATTTAGCCGAGTGAACTTTATAGATTCATTTTGATTTTGTGTTAATCTGTAAGAGTCACTCGCATCACTCGAGTATCCAGACACACTGACGGTGTTGGGAACCGCAAGATTTTTCTCGGTAATCACCGACCGAGAGCCCTGTCGGTGATTACCGCAACTCGGTATTCACCGACCGCATAATTTTGAGCGTCGGTCGGTTGCAGTCCGGTTGTAACCGCGGGGCGATTTGCCACGGTCACCGACCGAGCGAGCCTTGTCGGTTGCGGTCGGTGGTCACCGACGGGTCGGTAATCGCTGCAACTCGGTATTCACCGACGGTCGGGGACTACCGCAAAACCGTCGGTGATTACCGACCGATTTTCGGTGATTACGACCCAACACCAATCACTAATGTGCAGTTCTTAAAAAAAACAAATATCCGGTTTCCTAATCATATCTGCATTAACGTATCATTATTCACATCATTTGTTGACGTCTAAAGAGGACCACTAAGTAGTGATATAATAAAGTTGCAAATTCTACAGAAAAAGCGGTTTTCGTTGAAGAAAGTAAGAATGTGGATGGAATGAAATGCAGTGCAAATAATGCTGTTGATAGTAAGGAGGACGATGTTGTCGAGTCGTCAAGATTGTCAATAAATAAGCCACATACTGCTGGTGAGCATTCCATGGTCGAAACACTCGAGTCAAGCCAACATGCTCCATCTCATAGGTAAATATAATACGATATCGTTGTCTTTTCATGTCTCCTTTTTTGTTACATGATATTATTAGATTTCTTTTATTCACCTTTTCTTTCTAAAATTATAATTTTTTGAAACTACAAAATGTTTCATAAATAACTTATTTGGAACAAGTTGTCGTATTTCGTCAACGATACAAATTCTCTTTTGCACTTATGATCTTTTTTTTGTTGAGTATTTGAATTGTTCTATCAACTCGTCGATTCCGTTTTCCAGTCTTCTATATTCTCTTGAATAATTCTCCGCTATCGTAGAATGCCTTCATTGAATGAATCCTTGGCCAGAAAATTTTACGACACACGTACATTTGTTAATGCATCCCCTCTTCAAAACTAATACACTCAGTTCGTGCACACATCTGTAATTTTTTACGCCTAAAACGATTGTTTAGATTGAGTCGAACCAATTTAAGTATTGGTCCGTTTATTTGGCGGCCTCATTTGTTTGCTCAGGAGTCCCGCTTTCGCCACGAAAATAATGAATGAGAAATTTGCATAAATGAGTCAAAAGTTACATGCATTTTTGTCACAGCATACTTCGTTGCATGACACTCAACCTTACGATCCTTGCTATAGCTTATACTCTTGTCCATATACACTGAAAGTTTTTATTGGATTGGGTCATTTCTCATGCTACTGCTACAGTTAAGCACGGCCGTTGCACTGGCAGTTTTCGTGGAAAAATAGCAAAAGGGCAGTGGTGAGACTTGTGCATTTAGCAGGTATATGGAAGGCTGGAATTGATTATTGCTTGATATCGGCATGATACCGTAATGCCTAGAAACTTGTTTGCTAGAAAGGAGAAATTTTGCGTGTGCTTAGTCAACCTGAGATCAGGAGAATGTGGTCACTGCTGTTTGTTTCTTCTTGTGCAAAGTGGCTATATTTGAACTATAACAGCAAAAGGAATAATTCGTCGATCGGGCTCAAATTTGAGTACGCAAATATAATTCATAAACTCACGAGCATATAATTTTAAGCTACAGACGTAAAAGACAGAATGTCATGTTGAAGATATGTTGTGGTTAAAGAATAGGTAGTTTTTGACTCATTTACGCACATCTATCTCCCTTTCCTTCTTAGTAGATTTTGCCATCTTCTATGAACACTGTGTACTGAAAATTTGGGAAAATGACATCCGCTGATTCCTTAATCAAGAAAGAACGTCATTTTATTTTCCAGTCCGAAATCTTCGAAATCTCATCCAAAACATTCACGTGCCTTTGGTGATGCTTTAAGAACGACGAGGTTTTGGATGCGTTTATTGAGGCCTTGGAAATGGCGAAGAAAAGGTCGTAAAAGCAATCTGAGGTTGATTTTCTCGACATTGGATTTAGTAAATGCTTTGAAGAATATGGTCAACTGCTTAAGTAGCAGTCAAGCTTATTGTTAGCTTCGTTTCATTTATAACTGTATTATTAAATGATCGTTGATTGTATTTTCGATTCACGTGAACTTTCCGTTTATGTTGGTTGGTCTTATTTACAATGAACTTTCGGCACTCTTATAAGTTAACAGTTCCCTGTCGCATTTTGAGCTAAGTGCCAAGAGAGGGCTCTCTCACATCACTTTTCACTCTGCTTCCATTACGAACATCGTGTGTATCGTATCGCTCACCATATCTGTGAGAGGTTTCTATCAGTGGAGAGGCACAGAACACGAGACACTCTGAGCACTATCCAATGCAGCAGATTTGTTAATGAATGTCTCAGTACATTAGATTACAAACGATCAGAATGCTTCATTCAAGGATTACAGTAATCTGTTTGAACAGATCGCAACCGGGGTGGAAAGAACTAGCAACCGGTGCTTCATGGTTCCAGTAGAAAAACGGAATGCGGAGACTCTTCTATTATTACTGATAAAATTTTACCAGGCTCCACTATTGTGTTCGATCTGCGGTCAGCGTATGGTGTTATTAAGAATCTGCCCCAAGCTTATCAGCGCAAGACTGTGAATCATTCCAGAAATTTTGTAGATCTTGGTACCGGGGCTTGCACCAATACATTAGAGTCCATGTGGCAAAAATTCAAGGCAAAACACAAGTCACGGTTCGGTACAGATCGTAAATTGCTGTCGACCGATGTTGAACAATTCGTATGGAAAAGGGAATTTCGAGGAGAAGACTATGTATTCAACTTGTGCAAGCTGATAGCAGAAATGTACCAGCAAAGTCACAAACCAAATTTGATGTCATAGTTTACATTCACTGATACATTTAACGTCCTAAATATATGATGCATTATTCATCATATGAAATGTTGCACCTAGGGAGACACGTAATGACAGTATCGTCTAGGTAAAAGAGGGAATGCGACAAAATACAACAAATGAGAGATGCGATGTAATCTATGGACGCAGACAGTGACCTTCAAATGAGAGATCTTGAACTTGAAAAAAATTTTGCTCAAATTGCAACAGGGGAATAGTAAATTAGAAAAGTGCCGAACTTTCAATGTGTAATTGGTGTACACAATAATGAACTTGATTGCAGACGCTCAAATAGTGATCGTTCACCGCTTACAAACCAAATTGCAACCACAATACCAACTTCTTTCAGTTCTGTAGAACCGATTCATTTGACTGCTGTTGAACATGGTTTGTATCTTAAAGCTTTCTCACATTCACTTAAAATCCTCTTAACTTTTAGATATTCTTACCATTGAATATTTGTCTGACATTTTTGCGTTAAGCTAAACTTATTTTAAGTATAAATAATATTCGAATTAGTAGAAACGTATTCTTCGAAATGACTGTTCATTTTGATGTGTCGTATCTTCTTGATCAACAACCCAGGGGGATGAAGTTCGTGGACAAGAATCTGTTGAGACGGGCAACACAAATTTTCCAAAATTTTTACATTAGAAAAGAGGCCACTGAACATGCAAGAAAACACGCAAATAGGGTTAGTGAATAACTGAATAATCTACACTTGATCAGGTCAATTTGAAGAATCTTTTAAACGTTTTTTGTGCGAAAAATCGTATGTTTATGAGTGTGTGAATGTATAAAAGATTTTCTGGAGAGTAATTTTATCTTAAAAATACATGTAATGTATCTCCCCAAATAACTCTTTTCTTAATATATCCCTACTTAAAAACCCTGAAAAAAAAACATTTCGATGGGTTCTCAATCAAAGAAGTACGAGAAACACCGAACGCAAATGTAAATTTTCGTTGATTGCTGATATCGTTATGGCACAAAACTATCATTTATTTCGTGATGTTAGTTTAAGAAACTTGTTTTTGTTCTTTTAAAGTGCTCTCTTCGGTTTTGTTACGTGTACTTCATTTGCATCGTTAATGTGTTCAATATTTTCATTGGGCATCATCCACTTTAGCTAGCTGAACAGTTCATTTTCATTATATTTCTTCTTGTAAGAGTGCAACTTAAACACAATTCAGTGATGTTGACTTGCAAGCCTTTGTAATAGCTGTCTTGTAATGCTAGTGCAACTTATAAGTGATCGCATGATCTCATCTCCACAAAATCAGATGTGATGGTACTCTGTTTGTGCCTTACTTCACTCTCGGTTTTTAGTTCGTGCTTCCTTTTTGTCGTGTTTTATGCAACGATTTCAGAACAGCAGAAAGCAGTCTCTTGGGACGGTTCCTTAGATTCTTTGAGGATTGAAGAGTCTGAAGCGAATAATTGCCAAAAAGAAGCCGATCCTCCAAGGTATCAGACTTTTTATCGAAGAGATATGAAATGAACAATTGGTGTTCATTTCGTTGAAATTCTCACTATTGAATTTTCAAATGATGCTTTAGAGATTAATGTGTAAAATGCAAAATTTCGACTGATTTTATTCATATTTGCAAATTTCGGTTTTACAAAGTTTTCGATTCACACTTGCAATATGCTACATGTTTGCAGCGTTAATTTTGATAACAGCGATAAGAGTAACCATAATAGTGTATTGCGATTAACAACTCAACAAATAAATATATCAACCGTGGAACGAGTTGTAGTTGCTTATAATCACTCAGTTTCCTGTACAGATGGGAATGTGAATATTGAGAATGGTGACGACAGTAATAATGGCAAGGATAAAGTGTCATTAGCCGACGGTATTAGTTCATTCATAAATAGTGTATAATTTTATTCACTGATTGCAGTTTGTAAAATTCAATCGAAACTGCACCGTAACAATAAATATGTTGACTGAGAGTATTTCCTTTATTTTTCTGGATCACTCAAAAGTATAACGCAGTGGCAAGCTTTCAAGCATAGTGTTTGTTTAGTTCTCTACAAATTCCAATTTTTTAAGTTATCTTTCTGTGTAATTTTTTCTTGCATCTCGAAAATGTTCGAATAAATGAAATCAAATTCACTTTCAAAATCAAATAAATTTACCATCAGCGATACAAAAAAATCTGCTTTAATTTTCTATTTTTGTTAGTTGTTTATGGCTGTTTTATTTGATTCATCTTTATCGTTTAATTACGTTGATTAGTGTTTGATATTCAGTCACGTGGTTACAAATCTATAATATTTCGTTTGTTTTTTGTTATTATAATAAGCGAAACAGCCATGTTGCTGTTCACTTCTGTTCCAAATTTTCGAAACTAATAAATATGAACCAACCTGCGCGATATTATTTGGGCATCAATTGAAAAACAAAGAGAATAATCCATATTCAGATAGATCAAAATGCAGTCTATCTTCCAAGTTAATAACAAATTTAGAAATTGAATCAAATAAAATGTCTCTTTATTTTGCGTAACTTTCATATATAACGGTTGATCGTTGAAGGAAATAATGCTAGAAACGATGGTGATGATCAAGGTCAGTTGATTGAATGGGATACGGATTCACAGTGTGACGACACTGCAGAAATGGATAATGATAAAGTGCTTATCGAGGAGGTTGCAGCCAAAGAACCTGACCTCACTGCTAAACCAAATAAGCCTGTTCTTAAGAAGTTAGGCGCTCCATCTCGTTCAAAAGTTTATAAAGTGCAGCCGTCTGATGGTCTCATCGATCAGCATTACAGTTCGAATTTTAAATCAGTGAGGTTCGTTTTTGAATGTTTCGGGTTTTACTTCGATGCTGAAATGTTCAGCGCGTTGTACATTTGTCATTTCTTTTGACTGTTCTCGAAGTGATCATTTGAAGGCTAATCCTTACGTTATACTTCTAAATGTTGTTAATATTATAATTGTTGTTATTATTGTGTAATAAAGATGTTGTATTTAGAACGAGTAATGATGAACTACCATCTCGTTTGACCGATGACAGCGATAGTGATTCAGACATTAAGTACAGGGATGATGGACCATCATCATTCGTCCATACAGCAACTCGCCATCTCGGTTTCGGTCGCAGTACAAATCCCGTTATTGCTAGTCGTCTTATGCCGCAGTGCTCGTTCGATGCGGATGACACAGATGAAAGTGAATGGCCTGTTGGTGAGTTTTATGGAGATATCTGTGGATAGTGACGTCTGGTTTCGTTATTGCACACTTTCGTTATAGGTGGGTTAGCAGCAAAAGTTCTTAGAAAAGACACATTCGCGAGAAGATTGGACGTGGATGCACCGGATCCAGTCGATGACATTCCAAACCAAACATCTGATGATCGCCGTCGTCTGATGCACAAAGTTAGCATCAAGCTCGAAAGGTATTTGTTTCTTTCAGTTTACTTGCTCGATTCAAATGCATCTCACCGAAATATTTCGGAGTGAAATTTTTCAAATGATCAATTTGATTCTGTGATTGATGGTACGATAAGATGACGTTATGATCAGATGTGCTCATGTTAAGAATGGAGCGTAGTAACAGTATGGCATCGAAATGTAGTGCACGTACTAGTTTTCAACATATCGCAACTTAAGACATAACTATATGCGTTCAATTTATCGTAGAGCTGAGTGCTTTTTGAACAGAAATAAAATTGATAGTGGGAATTTCTTGCAATTCGCAGTTCTATATTATTTGTCTTCAGAAAATTGAGCGAACGTCCATCAGTCGAAGAACTAGAGCAGCGGAATATTTTGAAATCAAAAGATGATTCTATTTCGTCGAAAAAAGCAATGGATGAGACTCGTAAAATGCTACTTCGTAAGGTGAATTCATCCGTTCTGGCGACCTTCTAGCTGCATTGTTGCAAAATTATTGGAACAACGAGCAAATGCTTTAATGATTCATTCATTGGCCGTTACAATTTAGTTTTGAATTGGATGCAACTCTAGTACTAATGGAATTTTGTTTTGCAGTTGAGCTTCCGACCTACAATTCAAGAATTGAAAGATAAACAAATCATCAAGTTCAATGATTACGTTGAGGTGACCGAGGCAGAAGTTTATGATCGTAAAGCAGATAAACCATGGACTAGACTTACAGCTATGGATAAGGTAATCTAGTTTTTAAGCAGTTTTTGGAAATTATTAATTTACATTGATTGATGATCAATTAAAAGTTGAACATTTGAAATTTCATTCTATCTGAAGGAGTTCCAGTCATTGCCAAAGAGATGAACTTTCATTTGGTTTTATTCCATCAATTAATTGAATGCATTATGAATGCTTATAAAACTTATTTTCAGGCGTTAATTCGCAAGGAATTAAATGATTTTAAAGCAACCGAAATGGACGTTCATGAAGAGAGTCGCATTTTCACTAGGTTATTGTTATTTTTATGCCATAAGGTTACTGTTACAAAGAAGAGACGATCGTAATGAGAGTTAACTACCCGATGAAATATGGATGAGTTCAGCTCAAAATACTCGTATTTGAATTGTTTCTTTTGTGTGGTGCCATTTTGGTCATGTTTTCTGATCTACAGGCCGATGATTTAACTGTTATTCTACGGTTCCAAGAGTATATTCAACACATTTCTCATTTCTTTCAATTAAATTAGTTTGCTCTTTTCGCACTTTCTTTAACTACTTTCATTGCGTTTTTTTTTTTAGATTCCATCGTCCATGAAATAGCTCTCGAGAAAAACTATAACATTATCTATGTAAAGAGGTATGTCAACATTTTTTGATTCCACAGCGGTGGCCTTCATCTGTATTTTCTTATTGTTGCGTGTGTAACGTGAACGCCGTTGGTGAAAAATATGCGTGCGCAGCAGTGGGAGGCGATGGGCCAGGTTTGTGTTAACGGTCATAGCTGCTAATGCAAGCCTTACCGATTGTTCCGCACGTGTGCTGTTCAACGATGGATATGAATAGTGGTGTATGCAAAGAGAATGAATATATTCATCGCTCACCTCATCTTCAAGAAACTCTTGAAACTATAGTTGATATGGTACTACGGGGTATCATCCTGTCTTTTTTTCATATCCTCTACTTCACATTAAACTTAGTACCATTTGACATTCTTTTGGAATCAGTGCGACTGTGAATTTCCCCGACTGCTTATCGTTAGTTGAAGAATATTTTGGATTGTGAGCGATGAAATTCTTTCGAAATTAACGAAAGCAATCATCAAAAAAGTTCAGTGGTTTATACCGCAAAACATTGACGGGAGTGAGAGAAGTAAATTGCAGTTCACTTTTACATTGGTTACGGGGTCAGTGAGCCTCTCGTATATGCACTTCACTTTTTTCTCTCTCTCTTTCTTATCAACACTCTTCGATGTAGAAGTTTGAGTGTTTTTTAATGAATTTTGCCGTAATTTACTGAGGGAATTCTAACTTAAGTGCTTGGTTCGAGAATACTTGTAAGGTTAGAATGTGATAGGGAGGAAAATATTCCGAAATAACCAGTATTTGAGACTTTTCGTATTTATTCTAGTTGTTAACTTTGCAGTGTTTGCTTGCAATTGACTATGTCAATGTGCACAGCAAGTTTCATTGAAAGTTGATGATTGAGAAAGAAGTTACGATGCAATCTGAGGGAGAGACATCGAAGAGTGCCGATTTGGGTGCAGTTTTTCATTTGCTTTTGTTCGGTGCTGTGAACGGAACTTGTATTTGTGTGGTTGATTTGTGTGCCACTGTTAACGTTTGTTTGATTTCTGATGTATTCCCGAACGAACTCAGTCTCGTCATTGAAGCAAACAGAACTATTTTTCGCTGATAACATCTAGCAGGGGTATTTTACCTTTCATGTACAGTGATTAACAGTGCAATTGATTCTCAAACGAACTACTTGATAGATTAAAAGTTTATTGTGGTTCAAGATATTTGTCTTTAAGTTTGATCCAGTTCCTTTCCGTTTATAAGTGCTCATTTTATCTTGATTATTTTCACTTGTTAATGAATGCTTGACACGATTAGGTGTTTTGTTTATGCTCATTTTATGCCTAGCGTAAATGTTGTATTATTACTCGATTTGTTCATTTACTTTTTTCATCTCTTCTTTTCAAACCATTCGAATAGTCTTTCTGCAGGGAATGTTTTTGTCCTACTGAATATATCTACACACATCTTCGTTCATTAATTCATTCATGTATTTTGCTATATAAAATGTATATAGCAGTATCTGCATTACCCCTAATTTGACGCGTGCGCATTCTGAAAGTACTCCATCTAATAACTTTTTCGAATTGGAACTTCAGACGCGTATTGTAAAATTATACTTTAGTGTCATGCAGAACTGATTCTGTAATCTTTCTCCGTTCCTACCTGATGCAAAAAATGTTTCTGCTGTGTAATCTTATTTTGAACATAAAATTTTATGTACGAAGTGAAACGGTATAAAGTAATATCGACATAGGTTTTGTGCACATATTCTTGAATGTTCGTTTGCTTATAAACACTGATCATTTGATTTAATGTGTCACTTGAATGAGTTTAGATGGATTGTATTCGGCGAAGAGATAGTTTTCAGATAATATGTTGAGCACTCTTCTTTTCTTGTGCTAATTATAATATTTTCAAATAAACACTTCGTAATGTCCTTTATTCTTCCTCTTAATTTACCTATTCCTCATTCTTTTACTGTTTTCTGAATAAATATCTTCTTGTCCGTCGTTTAATCGGCCATCAGCTGAACTACTTTTGCATGATTCATCCCATGTATAGTCCAGTCATTTCGGCCGCTACTTGCCAATTCACTGACAAAATTCATTTTCATTTCTGTTGTCTTATTTTCTAACTGGATCGTATTATTTCATAAAACCTAGAAATTTCCCAATGAACTGCTTCTACGTCGATGCGATTCATTGGTGTTGTTATGCATACACGAAACGTTTTCATTTTGAACATAAAGTTATGTTGATGGTAGCGGACAGATGATAGATAAAAGTGAAAATTAGGCGCGATGCGTGCTTTAATAATCGTATACGAACTGCGATTGGTTCTGTTGCCGTCATATTGTTACGAAGGCTTGCTCATTATTTAGCCGTTGTCAGGTATGAGATGATGGTTCATTATATTAACTTTAATGCGTATAAATAGCATTTTGTTGTTTTTGTTAAGAAATTCCTTTTAAGAGGGAATACTCCGTATACTAGTAAGGTATGGGTTTGGTCTAGAATTGAAATTTATCATTTGAAGTTGCTTTCGAAGAGTGCACACGTCTACATGAGAAATACACGGGCCAGATGTTTCATGTTGTCCTAGCACGCTAAAAGACGAACCTATTATGGACTGTGTATGAAGAGGACATCCTTGCATTGAATTGTCCGGCGCCAGAACGGCTCATTTGGACGGCTGAAAAGACTGCGATTACAGGTGGTAGTTGCCGTATGATCATGCACAATTTTTTCGAATATGCTTCAGTTCTAAATTGTAGAGTGGATAAAAGCGAAAAGTGAATAAAGCAAAGATTGAGATCATTTGAAGATAACATTTTAAAAATATCGACGAATTGATGTCAAAATTGATCTCGCAGTTGCTCTCGGGTGCTAGAGTAACAACTAAATGATATTCTGAATTATTTGAAAATAAATACGTGGATGACTCATGTTAAATTGATCGTTACTTGTATTGTGTAACATAATAGAATGGTTAAAACATAATGGTCGTTATAATGGAATGATAGGAAAATGGTCATAAATGTTGAATAGCAAAAAAATGGTCATAAAATGTTGAACAATAAGTTGGATTATGATGTGATGGTATAAGATTTGAGAAGGCTGAGAATTGAAGTAAATTCGCACAAGAGTTGCGAGTAGGTTTGGCAAGGAAGGTTCTTAACTCACCACCACAGATTGCCAGTTCTTTTGGTTGATTTTGGTCGGTACCATAAGTGCAACAGTAGAATATTAATCGTAATTGTTCACATGCTAGATCTGAAAACAGATCTGAAAGATGTTTTTTCCTGTCATCGAGGTAATGGGCGACTTTCAAAATCATTTAATCGAAGGTCGGTGGCAGAGTGGTTAAGGCGATAGCCATCGAAGTTTAACATGGTTTGCTGCCAGATGTTGTCATTCATTTCATAACTTCCCATTTCATCATCTTTTTTGATAGTATCACAAATGATCATGTTTATGGATTCATTTTCTCCTTTTTAAATTCTCAGTCCTAGCATGATCAGACACGATGTCATTGTTTTTTTTTTGCGGATATAATAAAAGTTCTTTTTTTTTATATTTTTAATTAGAATCGGTTGTAGCAAATGCTTCGACTTTGTTTCGAACGATAGAGATATTACAACTCATCGTCATGTTCAGTAGAGACTAACTGGGTTGAGCTGATAAATGTAGTGCATTATACAGTGCGTCTTCTCGAAGAACACAATATTATTAATACAACGAAGAACTGAGCGGTACGCAAGACATCTCGAAATATAATTCGGTACCTAACTTCCACACTCCTACAGCTTACCATTTCATCCCCAACAAACAAAAAAAACAAAGGAATCGCAAAAGTGCGTACTCATTATTAATAGGAAGTGCAAAAACGTATGATGATGACCAAGAAGAAACAACGATCTCAAAAATAACAGTGATTTGCTTAAGCACTCTCTGACGCATCAGTCAGATTACTGCTGAAGGGGTCAATCTCATTATGTCAGTGACACGAAATTTCAGTCTCAAAACTCTCTTTCTGACCCAGGAATGTGAACAATTTCGGCTAATATTCTACAGTTGCATCTAGGACACCGATTACAAGTAACCACCAAAAAAATTTCGATTACAAGCAATCACCAAACGATCGATATAATTATCTGATGGAACACACAGTGTCCAACCGTTTGCATTGCAGTTGGGTCGGGAGTCACAGAATGCGTGCAAAGTTTGGTGGACCCACACCCATACTTTCCATTTGAAGGGTCGTCGAGCCTGACTTCGTCCTCTTTCACCAATTTGTTTTATTAGTTTATTCGATTTGTGTTTTAACAAAATGAATGGTTACAATAAATCAGTGGCAAGTTGGTGTGGGATATGACGATAAGAATAAGTTGATGAGGTGATCCACTGTATTTATTCATTGTTGCTGTTTCCTTGATGTCGGTGTTTTCGGATGAATGTTCTATTCAAAATTTAACAGTAAATGCTCATGCTCATTTCATGCTTCTTTGTGATATGACTGAAATGATCGTATCATCGCTTTCAAGGCGGATTTTGACACTTTGAGTGATGGCTTTAGAAACCATTCATTAGGTATTTATGAAGGTTCTTGGACAGTTCAATCGAAAATTTCAAACTTTCATAACTCAGCTCAGAATCAGCATTTTTATTCGAAACAGGAACCATTCGATTCAGCAAAAAGCTGCTAACTTGAAACCAACGATTTTATCCTTGCAGCATAAAAATCAGGATCTCTGAAAGCGAAAATTCGACAGACATCATCTTTTAGTGGGGTCTTATTAGGAAAGTTTCCTCACGTAATAAAAGTTCCGGGTTTTGGAAAAGATTGTAATCTGTTGGAGAGATCCAAGGAGTAAGAGGGACAAGGTAGGATCTCTAAGCTGAATTGGTGATTTTTCGTAAGATTGTCCACGCAACGTACGGTCGGACGAGTTTGTTCACCGATGTCGGCCTCCTTCGCAACTAAATAATCTGATCGTTTGTAACCTCAGCATATGGATATAGTATCTGTGTTAGTGGCTTACCCATTCCGAAGAATTCGAATTGTATCACTCAGGTAACAGAGGACACGATGAGGGTGATTTTTTATGGTTACGGTTTAGTTTTGAGCATCATTTTTGATGGTCCACCAATTTAGACGATTATTTTCTTATCCGTAATTTGCATTCAATGCTTTTAAATTCAGTGAAGTAAATGAGTATGCACCAGATATGGGTATCCTTGAAAAATGGGCAACGAGATGATGTATACAATAAATTCACGGTGCAGCGTAGCGTTCCGTTCCGTTAGATCAGTTTGCACTGCTAACTGTCCGAGAACTTTCGCATGCACCTAATAATTATTCTTTTTACAAATCATTTTACGATTATTCTTTATGATTATTATTTTACCACAGCTTACAATGTCATTAGATATATTGTTATTTTATTGTTGTTATTAATGAATATTATGTTTTGCTCAAATGTCATTGATGTCATTCGAATAGTATAAAAAAATTTGAAATGCAACTTGGAAATAAAAGTTCAGTTGTTGTGGAATCGAACACCTGATTATTATTATCGTTGCCATCTTTACTCATGGAGCAACACACAGTGTACGCAAAACCCGATCAACTATTAAAAAGAATGCAGTAAGGATCGTGTGAACAAACAAACTGCGGGAATCATGCCCGAAAACAGTGGGAAATGAGAAAAACAAGTCCTAAATCAGGCTCGGTGTCTCCAGTTCTGATTTCGCCCCCAGCTGAACCCTAATCTGCAGTCAGTTTTGAAAGAACTGTGATTTACAGTTCGCGACGATTTGAACTGTTAATGTAAGTTTCCTTCCATTTATTCGTCGTATGTCAGTATCATCATAGTAGCATTGGATAAAGCAGAAACGAGCAGTATCGTTTGTTTTGTAGATGAAACAAAAGGCGACTTCACCATTTCAAGACATTTATTTTGTAACTCGTTAATCGTGTGTGGTCTTATTATTAAGGAGGAACCAACTGTGAGAATCGGACGGATCTTGTTCGAACATTCAAAAGGAGTGATTGTGCAAGCTAACAAATAGTTCCCGAGAACAGTTCTCACGCGCTCATGCTCCATACCGTGTGGCAAGCCGCTGATCGCTTATTACCTGTTAGCAATACACAAGAAGGCAATCGGTAATCAAGAAAGTTTGCTGTCAACAATTCGTCGGTCGTATTTCAGGATTTATTTCCTTCTGATCGAACAATTGTTGTGAAAATATCACTGAACAGTTAGAGAGAAAATATTTTAAAAGAATCAATCAAGACTGATTTTTCAGCCTCCTCAGTCTTCTAACAATCTCAAATTCTTTCCCTCTCTATCAGGAGGGAATTCTCATCTCTGTATGGAAAGCACTGACCTAAAGCACTAAATTAATTTTTTACGCCAGTGATATCGATGATTCCATCAGCTGATCCACGGTAATATTCTTATTTGATAAGACTCTCATTACATGATAAATTTTGTCAAAATTTGTTTTGTATATAACATTTAACGATAACTGTTGATGCTTCCAGTCGTCTCAAATGTTCTTTCAAATGTAATGGATAAGTTCACTCAAATGCAATAGCTAATTTCAAAACATAGGTATCTCCATAACAACATTGAATATTCGAAGAAATTTTTACTTGTACATTTTCTCGAACATCGTTTCATTACTCTTATATATGGCTTCATTGCTCGATGATTTTCCTTTTTCGTCTCAATTCTTTCCATTCCATCTGAGGTTGTTCATATACGTTTTCGTAGATTATTTGAAATTGCAAGCCATAAATGACGGCTTTCTTCAGGTAGCATTTCTACAGTGCTAAAACTTTTGCACTGCATTTGCCTTCGTGATTGAATGTTCGCATCGCTGAATGTGTTGCTTGATCTTTAAACCCATCTATTTTCTCACATTGCTGCACTCTAGCGAATTCGCTGTGAGTAAGTTCAACGACAAATGTATTATTTAATATACAACGTTACAAATAAAATAGTTAAGGCTGATCAATTTCTAAATGAAGTTTTTAATGAATTCACTGTTTATGAATGCTGTTCAACGTAAACAATGACACTGAACAATATCATCGTTTCGTATATTAAAAAACTCGTCAGCTTATTCAACTCTGAAGCTATGCAGCAGTTTATGATGTAGGCGGAAGAGGATTTGTTGGATATAGTTATATTATAACAGGAACGACTTATTTTTAAAATGATCATCAGATTATTATTACTGAAGAGAGTTTAGAGAAGTGTGTTGTTAGAGTGGTGTGTTGTAATGCGTAAGAGGGACGATATATTGTTGTGTTTTTAATATTATTCGAGATTAGCCTGAGCATATACAAAATGATTGCATTGTTTATCGATAGGTGAATCGCTCAACTCTGAACATAAATTCATTATTGTTGTTCACATTTATACGTTGTTGAAATTCGAATACGTTTCGTACGGTTGCTTTATTCACGCGCATTTATTGTCATTTAAGTGTGTGAAGAAAAGAAACCTTAAGAGTACGTTTAGGCTTAGTTCGTTTCCCCGTTCATTTTGCTAAATAGTTCTCGCATCCTGTTATGAGCTACCTTTCGCCTCTTCCTCATTACCCACTTGTTGGGTAGGTGATTCTTCTTTGTCTTTGATTTGTTTTCACTTTACTAATATGTAATATTTTATGTTATTGACAATTAGTTAACAGTGAGAGGAATATCAAATTGTAATAAAGTCATCAACTTTCAGCGGCACTAGACGCAGCCGATCGTTGAGCAACATTTCAGACGCGATCTATTACGGTTACGACGTGGAATGCCCCCACCTCCCCCAGCCCCTCCGCCTCCACCCCCTTTACACGTTTCCGTAAGTCAAATTGTTGCTTACATAATTCTTCCGCTTCACCTAACTAAAACCTTTTGTTTTTGAATTAAAATTTCAGACGTCGTTTCTACAGTCTCGCGGGAGGACATCAACCAATAGTAACGGAGAAACACATAATACCGTATCTGGTTAGTTCATAAGCTAATCTTCATTATGATGTGTTGAGGCAGTACTATTCGTTTGTTGAAGAGTGTTGAGTTTAATCGAAACGCACTTTATATCGCCTTCAATCGCACTCATATTCCAAAAATATGAATCATTTGAAACTAACTCACTCAGCTTTTGTGATGTCTTCTGAACGGTCAGCATTTCACACTGCAATAACATTTCAGCGCCGTCCGACTCCTCCGCACCCAGGCTGGACGCTCAGACATTACAGGTTCATTGGTTTAGTTATGGCCCTCGTAGTTTCTTCTATTGTACACCTTTATTATTCACCAATTAATCAATTTTTCATCTTGTTGATTTCAGTTTGTTAAGTGGAACATTCACCCTTAGTTTTTTTGTCGCGATAGTCGCTAACTAATTGCTGGTGTTCAATTTTACTTGAACGAACACTGAAATCAAATGGGAAAGTGGAATTTCTTTGACCTTGAATTTAGAGAATGTTCTCATCGTCAGAATTACTCCGAAGAAAGTCCAGTTCGTGAATGCAGTCGTTCCTGTTGCCTGAGCCATTTACAGTCTTTCAATTACTTTATTTTCCATAGTATCTTTTTTTGAAAATTCCGCTTCATTGACGCAAGGATTAAGAAGCAGTCTGAAGTAGTGTATCTTACGCATACACCCATTTCTAACTATATCGAGTGTTCATCGATGTTCTAAATGAGGCTTAATGTGGCTTGGATTTACCCATATCGTGTGCAGATTCAGAAATATCGCGTTATTGGCCGGATGGTTTATTCCCAGTGTGGAAAGAAAAACTCATTTCTTTCTTCAATCAGTTCTATGGCGCCACTGAAAAATGACTGAGTGTTTGTAGTGCGCAGCCGCTGGTCTACGCAAGATCGAGTACGATCGACCGTTACGAAGTGTCTTCGAGAGTGTACCCAATGGACGAATGGACCGATCGGATCAGTTTGTGTCTGGACGATATCGGCAGAACAACTCGTTCGATGAAGCGGTGGAACCAAATAAAACCAGAGAAACGGTTCATTCATTCATTGAGCTAGTTCAGTCAAAAACTGGCACTTGTAAAAATATTACAGGTGTTTCGCACTAATAATCGAAACATTTTGACATGTTAGTGTGGAAAATCTTATTCACATTACAACATTTACAGTTTCATGCTTCGCCCTCTGGTGCCCACAACGCTGTGTCGCTCGGCGACGTTTATAGATACTCCAATACGGTTGGCTATTTGTATTTATTCAGTTTGTTCTGTTAAATTTATATAAATAAACAGTTCGCGATGAAGTGAATCTGAAGTGTGCATTTCGTTCTATAAATTCTATAAAAGATTTGTAATGCGTTTTTGTGGCATTCCTTAAGAGCGAAAAAGTTTCCAGATATTTTCATTATTGGAGCGATAATTTCAGTTAAAAAACGAATTCATTCAACAACCAGTGCAACAATCATCATATTCTTCTTCATCTTATCAACATTACTCCAATTATCAAAAGTCTGTTGACAGTCCTCTATTCATTTATCATTAATTGTAGTACTCATTCACTTTTTACTTAAAGTTGCACTTCAAGTAACAAGCCTATATGCCTGTGAAGTTTCAAACTTATGGCTCATTATATTTCGAGGTGTACCATAATCTGTTTTCGTTCAAAGGTATCCATATAAGAAATGCTAAAACAGTGAAATCAATCTCTCTAAACATATATTCACAAATTGAATATCTCAGCGTTGTTTTCATTAGTAGTAACAATACAAAGCTATTCAGTTATTTTGTCCCATTTCAATTTATGACGTTTCGTTGCTGAGTCATTTCTAATAATTTTATGTGGTATGGGAATGCATTTGGATCGTTTATGAGAATGGCTTAAGCACAGATGTAATTTAGGAAATGGTGATATTGGGCAGTGAAGTAGATGTAATTTCAATAGAATTTTAGCCTATACATTGTGAGTGTCATCGAACATTTCCACGAAATAGCACAAGAAAATACCAGTTGTTGTTGAATTATGAAATAATTAAGTGATTTGCATAATAGATTGACTATGAGCATTTTTCGGAAACGAAAGGACGAGCGTCTTTAAAGCATATAAATTTGTTCCTATTGCTGCTCGCTTTTGGCGTTTTATATGGCTTATTCCAATTGTTGTGCAAATATGTAAGAAGTGCATTTATTGGTATTTTTCTCAAAGTTCTCGCATCTTTCATTCGTGCATCTTTCGTTCAATTGCTGGTGCTTTGAACTAAAAATTGAAATTATTCTGTTTGCTTTTCGAAATAGCAACTAATTTCAAGCATCACGACAAGGAATTATCGATGTTATAATTTCAGTAATACTAACAGTAATCATCAACAAACCAATCCTCAAACATATATTCAAAATCCAACATCAATTATACGAGCATACGCCACACAAACACCTGCATACACTCTTTTCGGTCAGCCATCGCCATCCAAAGCAGTTTCACACTCTCAACAACCACTGCATTCACAGTCGCACTATTCAACATTGTTTTCTTCAGCTGATCCTATTTCTTATTATCGTCAAGCTACCACCAATCATGGCACGCAGTTTGCACGTGAACTCAGAGATCTGGGTGAGTATATTTGGGCGCTTCTGATCATGTCTCGCCATTTTATGAAAACTGTCCATACGATTGTGATGACACTTATATTTATATCACGTTTCATTCAGTCTAAGGCATCTTTGAATATCTGCTCCCCTGCGTAAAATGGAACTCTGAGAACGCCACGAAAATGTTTAGCCGATTTCCCGAGGTGCTTACATTTTGCCTACGGGTGCCTTTTAAGAGGATCCATTCCACTGGAAACTGCTCATATATATAAGAAAATATGTGTAACGACCATAATGTTGGTAGATAAAAAGATTGTTTTAATGATGAATAGAAAAGGGCTCATGTTTGGATTCGATCATTTGGATAATCGGATCAGCGAATATATTTAATTAATCAACAAACATAACACACACAGTATAACATAATGATGAATTCGTTTTTGTGATATTAAATTTATTATGTTGTTCATATTTCAATGCAACGAATATTATTGAAATATATCGTCAAGTAATCTGTTTTTCAAATAATCCATATAAAAAATGAAATGATATAGGTGCTCCTTTTTCTTGTTTGTTACATACTGGAATCATTCTTATATTGTTAAGCTCATCCACAGTAGCAAGCCAAATAAAAAATCCGCAACAAGAGAAAATGCTAGGTACAGAGGCTGTTCATGAACAACGTAAGTCTAACGACTAACTTCTTGATAGCAGAAAATAACATGTTACATTATGTCACAAAGTTTTTTGAACCATTCATTCATATGGGTATTGTTTGTAGCATGATTGTGTCTTATCTTTCTCAATGATTTCATGAGGGAATTGTGCATCTGAAAGAGTTAGATGAAAGAAACAGCTTAATTCTAAGTGATATTTTAGTTTTATCCGTTCCAAACGATATCCAGCCGACATATTTATGGTCTAGTCCACCAACCATACAACATTAGAGGCGTTTGTTGCAACAAAAGAACAACATTTGAAGCGAATTACATCAAAGACAAACTAATGTGAAAATTCTATCACTGCTTCATCTGTTCTTA